CATCTTATCTATTTGGAGGTGCCACAAGATACATTTTTGGAAAGCTTATGAGATGTCAGAATTCACAGTCACATCTGGGCAACTGTTGCCACTGCCTGAAATTCACATGGCGTGCAGATGGGGCCTGAGACACAGGGCCACCAGCGGGGGGAGGCGGGAACGGCGCGGAGCCGGGAGGGCCCTCCTGACACCTCTGGCTTTAATGCTACATGTTCAGTGTTAGTTGTGCAGTAAATAGTTTTTATTTTAAAAGACCCAAATAGGGGAAAACAAAGTGGTCATTGCCCTCAGATATAGTCCTGTCAGCAGGATGTGGCTGGGTGCAAGGCCTGTTACCAGGAGTGGGGGGCTCACACAGACCACCTGCCCTTCACGGAGCAGGAGGCACTCAGGCCCTGGGGTCCAGAGGCTGTCACTGACCTTCCAGGCAGCCCCGATATCTTCAGTTTCCTTATCTGTAAAAGTGGGGAGGACCAGACTGTTGGGGTGGTTCACTAAGGCCATTTAACCACTGGAGTCCGAATCCAGGTATCTTTCCTACTGAGGTGACCTGCCTCTACTTGCCCAAGGGCCCTTCCTCACCCACAGGGCCACTTTCCCAACTGTTCCAGAAGCCTGGATCCTGGGGAGCAGTGATTCTCCCCTGGCATCCCCTGACTTCACGAGGGTGGGCATCTTTCAGGGGCAAGAGGCAGACACTTTCTCAGACTCCCTGCAGGCCGAGGTTTTCGGGACAGATTCAAGTAGGTGTGTGTACCGTGGACCCCAAGGACAGGAGGCATCCTCAGGCCTCTCCAGGGGTGGAATTGGAGGACCAGGAGAACTCTGTGTGCTTTCTGTCTGTCCACTCAGTCTGTCTGTACCACTGGCCTCTGCCCATGTCTCTGCGTGTATCTCTGGGGTTCTGCCTCTTTTTCTCTTTGTCTTTCTTTCTCATTGTCTCTTTGTTCTCTGTGCTTCTCTTTCCTCTCTGTCTCGGTCTCTACCTTTCCTAGCCTGTAGCTTGTGTGAAGCAAGAAGATGCCCAGGGCATGGCACTAAGGAGGCGCTCTCTCGGGGGCTGACCCTGCCCTTGCATGAGCCCCGGAGCGAGGCCGCCCTAGCTGTGTGTCCTGGCAGCTTGCTTGTCTCGCCCTGGTTCAGGCCCTGTTTCTCTGTCACCTGTTCCCTCTCTTTGCCTGTCTGACTCCCTCCTGTAGCTGAGTGTGTGTGTGTCTCTCTTGTCACAAGGTCTCTGGCTTCTGCTCATCTCCAGCAACTTGATCTTTCTGCTCTTCTGGGCACATGGCTGGAGTTGGTTGCTCCCCAGTCCAGCAGCCCAGTGTAAAATTTCCGGGAGGTAAATACATCCCCGCTGGGCCAGCCATTCACACCTTGTCCAGTCAGCAGGACAGCTCAGCAGGAGGCCCTCCTGGCTCGGGTCCCCAAGCCCCTTCAATGTGAAGTGTGTCCCGGGTACCCTTTATCCCTTCACTGCTGCAACACACACAGCTTTGCCTCAGGCCTTCCTGGGAATTTTGGGAAAAACACAGCCAGAACGAAGTTTGAAAATAGGGAAAGATCGGCTCCCCTCCACCCCCTAACTCCCATCTCTTGGCTCTTTAAATGTACTGAGTGTCAAATTGCCTCCTCCTCAGAGAGCCTGGTTCTTCCAGCTGTATCTGCAGGAAAAACTGTCATCTCCCATTCTGGGGTTCCCGTTTTAGGTGTCTGAACGTGTGCGATGAAAACAGTATCTGCTGTCTCCCACCCACTCGCGGCCAAATGCTTAATCCTGGGAGCGTCAAGCAGGAGGGGCCGCAGCTTTGACTGGGGGTGAAAGAAGGCTTGGAGGAGGGCCGGCGAGTCTCCAAACGGTGCCACTGGGGGGGTGCAGACCACACAGGCCCAGGCGGAAGGAGCCAGAGTTAGCCCGTGGGGATGGAGAAGGGATTGGCACTGCCCAACCCCCTGGTGTGGGGCCTCAGCAGCTGTTTTCTCCCTGTCCTCCCGCGGCTCTGAAATAGCAGCAGGAGGGTTCGGGGGAGCAGCAGTGTCAGTGGGGAAGGTATGGCGATGGGGCATGAAGGCCATTTCTTGCCTTATTGGGAGACGCCAGCCAAGGCGGGTGTGGGCGCAGGAAAGGCCTGGGGACGGGCTTGGAAGCTGGTGGTGGCTCTGGAACTGGAGCCTTAGGCTTCGGCGCACAGCCTGGATACTTCAGGGCCCGCTCAGGATTCGTGCAGACCTGCCGCAGCCTTCAGGGGCCTGGGCGCTGAATCTAGGCCCTGCCTTCGGCCAGGGTGTTGCTGAGAAGACAAGACCCTATCCCCATGCTTTGCTGGCCTCCTGCAGACAGAGAGGAGGCTCTTCCAGCAGAGAAGCCCCCAGTGAGCCCCGGGGAAAGAGAATGCAGACACGAAAACAGGCAATACATTGCTTTATAAGTTATAGATTCCAAGCCTGTGTCATCTTTCTCCACAAAAAGTTTGCAGAGCTCCTGCTAAGTGCCACGTTCTGGGCCAGGTGCTGGGGTGCTGAGGTCCCCAGCAGGGAGGACAGGCCCCTAGGACGGGTACACAGAACGATGGTGGGATAGGGAGAGACTCTTGCAGCCGGGTACTCAGTGCTGGAGCAGCACAGCAAAAGCAGTTCATTCTATCCCGGAGGGAGAGGAGCCTTCCTGGAGGAGGGGGCATTTGCTCTGGAGGTTGAGTAAGCATTTTCCAAGTGAGAAAGGAAGGTCATCTCAGGAGGGCCTGGCTGGCGTGGAGAAAGGCGAGATGTTTGGAGTAGAGGGTGATGGCAGGAGGGGGTTGCTGTGGCCAGAGGAGTGGGCGGAACAGCCTCTGTCTGGGCGTCAGCCTGGCCCAGCTGATTTCAGCTTCCAGCATGGACCCTCTTTGCATCTGCTGCTGGAGCAGCTTGTTTGCCCCCAGCTTGATGTAGGATGAGGCCCTGCACAGGGGTGGGGGAGGTAGGAAGCTGGGTTTGGAGGGCAGAGGTGTGTCTCCCAGGAAACAGCAGCTCTGCCAGAATCCAGGGTTCTCTGGGGGAGGGGGGGGCCCTGGTTGCCCGGCAGTGCTCAGGTTGCACACATCACCTTAGCAGTTTGTGGGCAAACCCTCTTGGCCGAGGGGAGATTGCACCGCCTGCCACTTCCTCCGGTTCCTTCCCTCTGCCTGTCGTCACGTTACCTCTGCTTTGTTGGGGGTGAAGTTGAGGTTGGGCGGAATCAATTTTGTCCAGGTTTCTATTTTCCCAGATGCGGGTCAGCCAGAGGAGCTGTCACTTCTGGTTCTGTTTCAAAGGAGGCCACGGGGCTGGGAGGTGCGTGGGTGCGGCAGTGTTGACAAGGCACCTCTCCAGCCAGCCTCCCAGGCAGGTGGGAATGGGTCGGGGAGACGCTCAGAGGTGGTGGAGAAGGAGAAAGGGCTGCCCTGCCAGAGGTGATGATGATGGCTGTGGGTGCTGGTCTCTGGCCCAGACCCTGGGTCCTGACCTCCTAGAGCATGCTGGGAGTGCATGGAGAGAGGCTGTTTATTTTCCTGGCCCAAAGCCCTTTCAGCTGAGACCTTGTTCCAGGCCTCAGGCTGCCAGAATCACCCCTCAGTGGCTTGAGAAGTGAGAGAGTTGGCAAACTCAGGGCCATCCATGACCTCTCTAGTGGCCTCTCACCCTAGGCTGTCCCCGGCCCAGCTGGCCGTGTGGGTCCTCCAGATTCTCCTGCAGGTAGCAGACCACATCAGAGTGATGCTGATGGGCTGGGGCTGTGTGGGCCAGTGGTCGAGAGCAGGAAGGTTGAAGTCACAGAAATCCGAGTTGGAATGCTGACTGCCATTTCCTTGGGTATATGGAACTGTTGAGCCTCAGTATCGCCATCTGTCCAATGGGACCGTAGTAGTGCCTTCCTCATCAAACTTTGATGGAGAGGATTCCATGACCTGTGTTTACAGCATTTAGCAAAGTAGGCAGCAAACAGCAGCTCTTGGTATTATTATTGATGAAACAATAGTAACTGCCACTTTGATTGACAGCCACTGTCAGTAGGCAGAGTTTCCTCCTTCCCACATCCTGGGCCCTCTTTCATGCATGGTGCATTTCCTGATGTGTCCTGGGGAGAAGTACGCCCGGAGACTCAGGAGGCCCCTCTGCCTGTGTCCCGTGCAGGGCACTCTAGGGAGCCCCTGGGATCCTGGGCTACAGGTGGGTGTCCTGGGGGAAGAACATGCAGGGAAGAGGGTTAAAGCAGGCAGGGAAACTGTTTAGTTGACAACGAGACAGATCCAGCCCTGGCCGGTTTGGCTCAGCGGTTAGAGCGTCAGCCTGCGGTCCAGAGAGGCCCGGGTTCAGTCCCCGCTAAGGGCACGTACCTCGGTTGCAGTTTGTCCCCGGCCCTGGTTGGTCGTGCGGGTGGCAACCACTCGATGTGTCCCTTTCACATCGATGTTTTTCTCTCTCTCTCTCTCTCTCCCTCCCACTCTATCTGAACAAATATCGAAAAAAATGTCCTCGGGTGAGGATAAAAAAAAGAGACAGATCCAAGCGTGTGGAAGGACCAAGAGGGAGGGAGAAGGCACCTCCAGGAGGTGAAAGTGGGTGGGGGCAGAATGCAAAAGCTGTGCCCGCACCCAAGGCGCTGTTAAAGGAAGTCCCTGAGAACTGCTAGCCTGGAACATGGTGCCCAGAGGCTCGGGCTGGGCAGGAGAACACACTGTCACCCTTGGGTGTCACCCTGTGTGAAGAGAGTCCCAGGTTTGGGCCTGCTGAAGTCCGGCAGGACCCAGGCAGTGCTGCCCTCCTGGGGCCCAGACCGCCCCAGGGTACCCCCTGCTCCCCAGGCGCCTCGGGGAGGGTTTCGTCTCACCAGCTGAGAGGCCAGCGAGCTGGCAGACAGGGTCGGCTCCTTCACTGCCAACGTGTCGGTTCGGAGGGGGACTGTCCGTCTGCCTGCCTGTGTGTCAGGAGGGAAGCTCTTCCAGGCTGCCGCAGTGCTAACCAGTGGCTCTCTGCCCTCACAGCTAGACGAGGAAGAGGAGCGGAGGAAAAGGCGCCGGGAAAAGAACAAAGTGGCGGCAGCCCGATGCCGGAACAAGAAGAAGGAGCGGACGGAGTTCCTGCAGCGGGTGAGCAGGGCCGGGCCAGGGCCGGGAGCGGGCTGTGCACGCGTGGGCCGGGTCATCAAAGCTGTGGTATCAGTGTGTACCTGGGCATCTGCCCAGGCAACCTCCACCCCTCCGCTCTTCCCTGTCCCCTGTTTAACACCCTCCTGGACGAAGACAGCAGCAGCGCCGCCTCCCCAGGTCCCTGGGGGCCAGGGAAGGTGAGCGGAGCCAAGTGTCCTCCACTGAGGTTAGACCCTTGGCGCTGATTGACCCAAATGGCCTGGGACTGGTACTGCCCATTTTGCCAAAGTAGTCTAGGGTGGGTGCTGATGCAGCAGGTGATGACACCCTGCACATGGGCAGTGGACACAGCACCCGGGCAGAGAAAAGCTCCTCCCTTAGCTGCAAGCGGCTGATCCAGCTCTGCCTCCCAGCTGGCCGGCGGCTGCTCCTGCCCCCAGGGACCAGGGTCAGCTTTGACACCAAGGCTGCGCCTGCCCCAGGGACCAGGGTCAGCTTTGACACCAAGGCTGCGCCTGCCCCCAGGGACCAGGGTCAGCTTTGACGCCAAGGCTAGCGGAGGGTTGCCTTTCCTCGCGTCCCTCGAGCACGTTCCTGCCCTTTCACTTGGAATGTACCAAGCAGGTTCTCTTCTTCCTCTACTGAGTCCCCTCTCGTAGGCCTTTCCTGATCCTCAAAAATGGTAAATGGCAGTGAAGGAACATGGCCAGAAAGCTAATTAGTCCAGGCCAGTAGTCTCCAGCCTCCCTAGCCCCAATCCCTTCTTCATTTCTAAATAATAATAGTAACAGTATGTAATAATAACATCGTGGTTTAGGCTCTGTTCTACAGTATGCAACAATGAACAATAGTTGCTGCCCTGGCTGGTGTGGCTCAGTGGGTTGGGCATCGTCCCGTGCACTGAAGGGTTACTGGTTTGACTCCTGGTCAGGGCACAAGCCCAGGTTTCATGTTGGATTCCCAGTCGGGGAGCAAGAGGTGACTAATCGATGTTTCACTGTCACATTGATGTTTCTCTCTCTTCCTCTCCCTTCCCCTCTCTCTAAAATCAATTAAAAATCTTTAAAAATAAATAAAACAATAGTTGCTAACATTTGTAAAGTTGGGCACAATGCTAAACTGCTGTGTGTCTATTATCTCACTTTATTGTCATAAAAACTGTACGAGGTATGTGCCTCCAGGATCTTCTGTCTACAGACGGGGAAACTAAGGCACGGCAAAATCCAAGAACTTGCCCAGGTCCCTCAGCAGCTAAGTGGTAGAACTGAGATTCGAGCCTGAGGTTAACTTCAAAGCATTGTTCTTAACACTCTGCTATGCTGGCTCTAATTTATTCAGTCCTTCATTTGTGCATTTACTTATTTGTTTGTTGATTCTTTTACTCATTCATTGATTTGTCGACAAGTATTTTTAAGCAAGTACTGGATGCCCAGCACTGTGCTAGGTACAGGGGGGACACCAGGTAGGAGCAGACATGGTCCCTCCCGTGAGAGCTGGAGAGAGGAAGCTGGGCTGGTCTTGGTTTTCTCTTACAGTGGGGGAGCTATGGGTCTCTTCTGCTTGCAACAGTCAGGGAGCAATTGGTGACCATTGGTGTGATCAGCCTGGGGCCATGTGTACACGTCCGGCTGTGAGTACCTAGGCCAGGTTAGACTCCTAGATCTCGGAACCCCCTTGGAAGAGGTGGTGGACCAACATTGGGCTGGCTGTTTTCAAGAAGTTTCTAAGACACTGGTCTCACTAAGACGGGTGGGGTGTTGCATAGTCATCACCGGCCCTGAGTGCCTGCAGAGCTGGGCGAGGCACAGCAGAGGACAGAGGAGTCTCACCTCAGATCCCTGCCTTCCAGGGCTTGTCAGCCAGTGAGCAGGCTACATATGCCAAGTGAATGTGAACTGACAACACCCCGGTGCAGTAAACACTCGGTGCCAAGAGAGCGTCGCTAGCTGCTCTTCACATTCCAGTGACACTTGCTGAGAACCTACCGTGTGCCTGGCATTACACCTGTCTCATTCAGTCTTATAACATTCTGGTGGGATAAATATTGATTATTCCCATTGTAGACGCTGACCTGTAGCTCAGAGAGGTCAGGTTATTTGCCCAAGCTCGCAGTGCTAGCTGGCGGCAGAGCTGGGGTCCGCTTACTCATTTGCTGACCCCTCTGTCCATCCTGTAAGTGTTCAGTGAGTGCTCCCTGCCCAGAGGGAAAGCAGGCGATGTCTGCAGTGGATGGTGGCCGGGAAACGAGAAACAGCAGCATGTGCCAGCCTGACGTTGGGCAAGCCTGGCGAGTTGTGAGAATGTACGGAGGGGCCCTGAGCTGGGGCTGAGGAAAGACCGCTGATTGAGACACGAAGAGGAGCAGAGCTAGCTGAGCTGAAGGCCGGGGGGGCAGGAACAGCACAAGCAAAGGCCAGAGGCAAGAGGTGTTTAAGAATGTGGTTAAGGAATGGAAAAGAGTGGCTGGAGGTTGGAGCACAGATGAGGGGAAGGAGGGGCTGGCCGGCAGGCCCCGGAGCCTTAATGTGTCAGGTGATCCCCTGTGCTGGGTGGTCTGGGGCAGTCCCAGTGTGTGCCTGTTGTCCTGGCCCGACTGTTAATAGCACCTTATGTCCCCGTAAGGATGATGAAATATAAGGTTGTGGAGAGCCAGGGAAGGGTCTCAGGAGAGAGACATACCTTAGAAAGACCCCTCTGCTGCGCATGGGCCATGGGTCCGGCAGCCGGGAATAGAGTGGGAAGGTCCCTTGTGTGGCTCTGGTATTGTCCTGGGAGGGAGGGAGGCAGCTGTGAGCACAGGAGAGGTGTGTGGCCCTGGGCATAGCAGGGAGGTGTACACGGGTCTGACAGGGCCTAAGCCCAGCCTTCCCCTCTGCCCCACGCCCACCGCCATCTGGCCTTGGGAGCGAGGATGGGTATGAGGTTTAGGCAGGGATGCAGATGGCTCTGTTGACAGTCAGTGTCCACAGACCTGGGGAATTTTCTTGGAATTTACTTTTTAGCAGGTAGAGGATTTATGAAGCCCAGAGGTGCAAAGGGGTGTGTGTGTGTGTACACACATATATACACACTCACCTACCTACATGTATGTAAAAAAATCACTCTCTCATCCTGGACACCCAGATCCACCCTGAGAGCCCCCCTGTCACAGCTCAGAGTTCGCTCTCCTGGACCAGCAGGGCTCTGAAGGAGGCCGGAGGCAGGCCCGGGTGACCTCAGGGCCTCCCCCGCCTGCAGTCAGGAGCAGCAGGCCCCTGGGCTTCTCCCTTCTGCAGCGCCAGCCCTGAACTGCTGTGCTGGCCCAGGTCCCCTGCGTGCTGGTGGCGGTGACACCATCTCCCACTCCCGTGGCCTCTGCACTCTTCAGAGCCACTCTCTGCCCGTGGTCACAGGGACTCTGGGAGGAGGCCAGGCAGCCCATTCCACTGAGGAGGACTCTGACCCTCGGAGGCGTAAAGTCTGCTCGAGGTCACCCCGTGGCTGAGGCAGGACTAGAACCCAGGGCTTCCTCTACAGCCTAGCACTCTATTCAGGTGGCCCAGGCTCAGGGAAACGGGGACGTTGTTCACAGAGGCATAGCCAGCAAGTGGCAGGGTCAGGGTTTCAATAGACAGGTCTTTTGGTTCAGACAGCTGCACCAGGCTTCTTCTCAACTCTTAGTTTAACTTTAATTAAAATAATAATAATAAAGTCAGAGAATCTTAATGCTAAACTCCCCTGGGCCAATTATTATATTTTCTGGGAGGAAACTGAGGCCCAGAGAAGGGGGGTGACTTGCCAAAGGTCACACAGCCAGGATAAAAGCCCAGGCCCTCACCTGTATTTTTTTTATTGCCTTTGCCAACCACAGTGAAGGAGACCAAAACTTCATGTGTACTAATTCTGTTCTGAAACAACAAATGGTTTCATTTTCTCTAGGACAATAGATATTGACCTGAAAGCAAAATGATAAACAATGCAAGCAGAGTCATTGACTTCGTAATTAACATGGGAAGATCCTAGCCATGTTCCTAATTAATTAGGAAAAAGAGATTAGGTAATTGCTTTTACAAAGCCACAAACCACTTCTACAGTCATGGTTAAAAAGAGATTCTTCTGAACTCAACTTGTACACAACAAATAAATATGTAGCACCAGCCAATAAAACAGAAGGAGATAAAACTAAAGAGCAGTTACTGACATTCTGAAGAGCCAGATGGTATTCCATGATACACCCTAACATTTTAGGGCCAGCAGAATGCAACGGTGTGCCTGTGATAGATGCGCGTGTGAAGCAAGATGCCACACACCTGCGTGGTCTTTCTGTGCGATACAGATGTTCACAGATGCGGTTGGGTTGACATGCAGTCGTTCCAAGGAGGCGGATCTGCACACAGTACCGAAGGCTGCGTGTCGGACACTGCCCCTTGCGTGTCCGTTTTTAACGTCCACTCACTGCACCTACAACCCAGCCCCTTCCTCCCCCTCCCCAGGCGCCCCGGCAGCTCCCTGTCTCTCACTCTCCAAGTCCCAGCAGTCACAAGCCCTGCCAAGCTGTCTTTGAACTCCTCCTCCTCCTCTCCCCCTTCTCTTTCTTCATATTCTCTTGCTCATGGCTCAGAGTAAAAATTCCTTAAACCTTCCTAACCCTTGGGTTTACGAAGTACCTTTCCCGTGAGAGTCCGAATCACCATCTTTTTGCACATGAGATAACCAAGGCTCCGGGAAGTCAAGGAACCTGCTCCGGACTCGGATTTGAAGCCCTAAAGCTGTTTTCGGGCGGGCTCTACCCACCTTCCCAGCTCCTGCCCCACTGCATCCCAGCTGGCCTGTGGCCACAATGGAGGGTTTTATCAGCCAGACACATTTAAAAAAAAGTATTTATCTATTTTAGAGAGAGAAGAGGGAGGAAAAGGGAGAGAGGGGAGAGAGAGAGATCAATTTGTTGTTCCATTTATTTGCAGATTCATTGGTTGCTTCTTATGTGTGTCCTGACAAGAGACTGAACCCGGAACCTGTATCAGGATGACACTGCCCAAAGGAGCCCCTGGCCAGGGCTTTCCTAAACACTCCTGAAGCTTTTCTATGTCCGCGTCCTCGGGGCTCCCTTCCTGAAATTCCTCACCACCAGAGTCAGTCCGTTTGTCAAACTCAAGGTCGGACCTGGCCATTTAGCCCCCTCTGAAGGTCTCCCAGACTCTGGCTGGCTGGCGGGCGCAGAGTAAGCGCTGCCTTGTGGATTCTTCTTCCCCGGAGCGGAAGAGCCGCGTGGGGGCTCAGGGGCCCTGGGTGTCTCCAGAGCCCTCCCTGTACACGGCAGGTCCTCAGCAGATGCTCACGACGGGTGGGCAGGCTCAGTGTTGCTGAGTCGGAGCCTGGGCTGGGGAGAGGCTTGGCCCGTGCGTTTGTGAGAACTTCCCAAGGTGAGCAGCTGGGCAGACGCCGTGACCCCGTGGCTAAGATTCGCACCTACTGGCCCCGGGCTGACGGGTCACGGACCCATGGTCTCACGTGGGGTCTCTCCTGGCCCTCAGACGTGGACTTCCCTTGGGATTCCGAGGACAGTGGACCAGGCCAGCCCCTCCCCTCCCTCTCCACCCCGTTGCGCCTCATCCTGTTGAACTAAAGCCCACCATGGCTGGTTTTTAATATTTTCCCCCTGAACATCTTTTCCTCTTTTTGAGGCTGTTCTTTCTCAGCACCTAGCCGCAAGGACTGCGTGTCTCGGCAGTCCTGAGTCCCCAAGCGCTGACGCTGCCCCCTGAGATGAGCACAAGGGACACTTGAGTCAGGCCGGCTGGTGAGGACGGCAGCAGCCAGGGTGTGTGGGCCCCCCCGGGCCGAGCCAGGGCCACACAGCCTGTTGTCACACAGCTGCAACCGCAGCCTGTTCTTTGTCTAACACAGGTTGCTCAACCTCAGCACTGTTGACATTTTAGACAAGACCGTTCTTTTTGTGGGGCCACCCTGGGCATTGCAGGGCGAACCTTTCAGAGCATCCTTGGCGTCCAGCCATCAGATGCTAGTGGCAGCCCCTTCATCGGCTGTGGCAACCAAAAACGTCTCCAAACATTGTCACACTGTCCCTGGTTGAGACCGCTGGCCTAAAACTTTGCTGGCCACTGAATAAATTCCAGCTCTCAAACTGGTCACACGTTTCAGACACAGTCCTAGAAAAATCACTCAGGAGCTTTTCTGTTTTATCGTTCTGACCCCCAATGCTTTCGTTGGTATGCTCACCGCTATCCACATGATAAACACGGAACCCCCAAATCAAACGGACATTGCTTTCCCCCCAGCCTCTCCGGCTGAGCTGGAAGTTCACTGGGAACCTCTCCTGAGGTCTGTTTGAAACCTCAGTTTGGATCCAGAGGACGGCTGTTCTTGCCTCCCAGGGGGCGGAGCTCCCAGATCACGGGATAAGGAAGAGGCTGTCTACAGCTATAGGCTAGTAAGCAGGAAGCACATGTTTTAGAAGGAACGGCACGACCACACTGGCCTTGTTCATCCCACAGGCCAAAGTTTCCGCAGCAGGCTTTTGTCACTCATCAAAGCACTGTGGCATTCCGCTGCCACCCCGGGCCACCTCTAACCCCTCTGTTCTGGGTCCACCCCCCTCCTGTCTTCTCCCGCCTTTTGTTTCTTGTGCGAAGGCCCTGAAGCAGGAGAGTGTTTGGCATGTTTGAGCAACAAACAGCAAGGAAGCCACTCTGTTTGAAGAGGATTGAGTGAGGGGAGAGAGGTGGGACATGAGCCAGGCCAGCCCCAGATATAACCTGGGTTCGTCTCACTGGTGACACAGGCCAGTGTCACCGGTGTGACGGACACCGCTTGTGGAAAGTCAGTTGTCTCAAGGGCTTAGCGCAGGTCTGTGCTTTCTCCGGTGGGAACTTGGCAGGCAGGAGGCAGAGAAATGCTAGCCTCATACCTGCCCAAAGACGCCTCTCCCCAGAGCGTCCCCGTGAAAGCTTAAAGCCCTGTCCCTGTGTTTGCGCACAGGAATCCGAGCGGCTGGAGCTCATGAACGCGGAGCTGAAAACCCAGATCGAGGAGCTGAAGCAGGAGCGGCAGCAGCTCATCCTGATGCTGAACCGACACCGCCCCACCTGCATCGTCCGGACCGACAGCGTTAAGACCCCCGACTCAGAAGGCAACCCGCTGCTGGAGCAGCTGGAGAAGAAGTGACCATGGGCTGGGAGGAGGAGAAGGAAGAGGAGGAGAGACTGAGAGGGAAGAGGAGGAGGGTCGCGGAGGGCTCTTCCTTGCTGCGTGAAAAACTCTTCAGTGAGGCTCAGCACAGCCAGCATCGGCCGGGCTTTTTTTGTGAAATTCAGATCAGCCACACCAGGGGAAGAACAGGCTGATGAAACCCAGGACCAAGCGCTGAGACCAAAGTAGCCCCGAGGGTGGGGCTGTCCTGCCTGGGGCTAGGCTTGAAGGAGGCAGGACAGAGGCTCTGGGCCAGAGAGAAGCCCAACCAGGCAGCTGTGGGCACCTCTCTGGCCTCTCGGCCAGGACACCCACCCAAAGGACCTCCGAGCAGCCAGGAAGAGCCATGAGTTGCAACCAAAATTCGGCTGAGGATGGAACTGCAATCTGCCTGCCCCCAGCCCTGCCCCTACCCCTGCCCCTGCCCCCAGGGCTAGGCTGGAGAGGGGCACAGGGCCAGGCCCTGCTGTACCCACCCACCATGGTCCAGCAGGGCCCTGCCGGAGCGGCAGCCGGGGCGCACCCTCGCCGGCCCTGCTGGAGTTGCTGTGGGCACGCGGCGCGGGCGCCCTTCCAAAGCACACTCACTGAATGTTTACAGACTGGCTGTCCTGGCAGGGCTTTCAACTGCACATGTTTTTTATACTTTCTTTTTTTTTTTTTTTAATATTTTTTACAAAAAAAAGATTTTATACAAGCAATATATATATGGATTTCTATAATCACTCGATGTGATGCAGTATAAATATGCTATGGTTTGTTTGTTACGAACAGATATTCAGCAGTTATGGCCGTTGTGTGTAACTCCTAAGTACTGTAGTCTCTGGGGGTGGGGGGGTGGGGGTGGGGGTGGGGTGCATTTCCATCCTGGTAAACCCTTCATAGTACTCAGTCCTGTATCGCTCAGTAAACATTACTCGTACTTACCCGGCTGCCTCTTGTGGTGTCTGCCTAGGGAATGGGGAGCAGGGCACGCTCAGGGGGCCCCCCGTTGTGGTGTACCAGAATGCTTGGAACATCTGCTGTAGGCTCTTAGTTTTCACAGCAGCCCTCCCAGGTAAGTGTTTTATGTGCCCATTTTACAGATGAGGAAGTTGAGGCTCAGAGAAGTAGGGAACTTCCTTTGAAAAACTTACTTTGTTTATTCACTTCACACATGTTCACTGAGTGCCTCCACATGTGTGCCAGGCACCCTATACGGGGCAGAGTAGTCACTGGGGAGTAAACAAACCTAGGCCCAGCGTTCATGGAGCTTCCAGTCCCGAGTTAAATCCTGTGCTTGCCCACCGTGGTCTCAGTTCACCTCACAACAGCCATGCCAGGGAACAGCAGTCGCCCCCATTCACAGGTGATGAATTAGAGGCCCTGGGAGGTAAACTTGCAGCCACCACTTGCTGACCTACTGTGACAAGCATATGTGGTCTCACTCCTCCCAGCAGCATGAAATAGGCATTGTTGCCTCCATTTTACAAATGACTGAACCGAGAGGGCAAGTGACTTATCTGGAGTCACCCAGCTATCAAGGGGCAGAGCTGGTTTTGAACCCCACCTCCAAACGCCCATGACTCTCCACCTGTCACCAGCTAACTGTGTGGTTATCCCCATGGCTGGATGTCTCACCTGAATAGAACAGGAAGCCTGTGATGCCTCAGTTGCATCGTTTTTGGAAGGGTTGGGTAGTTTTAGGCTGTCTCATGTTCATGGAGTGAACCGGTGACCCAGGGAAACGTGTGCCTGACCCAGGGGAGAGGGTGTGGGGCACTCAGCCAGGTCCTCGCCTGCACAGCACAGCTGAACAAGAAGAGTGAGGATGGCTCGGTGTGACAGGCAGTAACTGCCTTGGACTTGGCATGCGACAGCTCACAAGGCACTTCAAGCACGTTACCTCATTTCCTATCGCAGCTCTATGAGGTCGGTGGGATAGGTGTTTTTTGGCTCCATTGTATGGTTGTGCAAACTGAGTCTTCCAAAGATGAAAGTTCACCCAGCTAAAGAGGCAGAACCAGGAGCTGAACCCTACTCCCCTCCTTTCCATGGTATGTTCGCTGCTCCCCATCACCAGGGCTAGATAACTAGTTGTTAATGATGAGGTTTCCTACAGCAGTAACCGTGGGTTGCTTTCCAAATTATGGACAAGGTCTTCTGGGAGGGATGGGAACTGAGAATAGGTCACTAATATATCTTGGCTTCCTTACTCATCTCACGTTCTCTCTGCCCAACGCGCTAGGTGTGGACCCTGAGCCCTGCCTTGGAAACAGCCTGGCAGCTCCCTGTCAGCTGTGGCAGCCCTGGTAAGTCCTCCGGCTGTCACCCTTTGACGTTTTTCAAGCATGAGAAAAACAAAGATGTTGACTTACAAGGGCACCTCAAGTGACCCGGTAGAAGTTCCTGCCGCCCGCCCCTGGCTGTGTTCCTTGGTGCTGTGCTGGTCCTGCGAGCCTGTGCTCCCTGGAGAGCCCTGGGCCTCCACAGGTGGCTGCCTCCCAGGCCAGTGCTGTGCTGAGGCCTGCCCTTCGCATTGCTTTTAAATATTCGTATTGATGAGAGAGAGAGAGAGAGAGAGGGAGAGAGAGGGAGAGAGAGAGAAACATTGATGTGAAAGTGTAGCATTGATAGGCTGCCTCCTGCACAGCCCCCACTGGGGCTGGCGCCACAACCTGGGCATGTCCCTGACTGGGAATCGACCGGCGACCTCCTGGTGCACGGGACAATGCCCAACCACTGAGCTACCAACCACTGAGCCACACTGGCCGGGGCTGCCCTTGGCGTTTCCTCCTCACCAGGACCACCACGCCCTCCTAGGGGTAAACAGGAGTCACAATCACCATCTTCCTCGTAAGAGCTAATGTTTGTGTGTTTTCTGTGTGCCTGGCACTTTAATTTTTTATTATTATTGATTTTCAGGCAGAGAAGAAGGAAGAGGGAGAGAGAGAAAAACCTCAATGTGAGAGCAAAACATCGATCTGTGCATGGCTCAACACCCCGCCACCTGAGCCGACCGGCACTTCGGCTGTATTACTTCACTCCGTCCATATGGCCTTGCCGGGAACAGGTGCCATCATCCCCGTGTTACAGATGAGACGCCTGAGGCACAGAAAAGAGGTCTCTGGCCCAAGGTCACAGTCCTGCTGGGCGGCAGAGCCTGAATGTGCTTCCAGTCTGACCCCAGGTGTACAAACACGAGGGCCAGGCCTCACCCTGGGGAAGTGCTCCGTGTTTGTGGTGTGACCTCAGGTACAGGGGAGCTTGTGCAGGGGGACGTTGAGAAGTCCCGAGTCTGACACCCATCTCCAAGCGGACGTAAGAACACATACTTGAAAGGAAAACAGGTTCAGGCTAATCTGACTAGCCATGAGCCTCACTTTTATCTGAAAGGAGGGCTATCATCCAAGTCTTTTTGATGGGTTGTCCAGGTCAAGTGAGGAATGCATAGAAAATTGTTTCGTGAAATATAAAACCCCATAACACGGTAATTTCTTGCCCTCTGTTAGTGTGGATGGTTGTTGATATTTACCACATAGTACAAAGTATGCGAATGGCTTTTATTCAGTAACGGTGGCCACAGAGTGTGTGTTCTGGCTATGTATCCGGTTCCCACGCCGATGAGTGTCTGGGATCCGAGACGCCTGGGTTTGTTCGGATCCTGATTGGCCACAGCTAGCTTTGTTGGGCTCATCGTGTCTTCCCTGAGCCTCTCTATGCCCTCCTGGCAGGTGGTCATAAGACCCGTGCCACCTGCGTCCAGGGTTGGTATGAGAATCCACCGTGCAGCGTGAGAAGGATAAAGCCCATTAGCAATCCGACGGGCAGAAACTAGTATGAGTTGGCCAGCATACAGATTAAAGGGACCTTACATACAGTGCCAGGGGGAAATTGGTGTGACTACTGTGGAAAGCAATTTGGCAATAACCAGTGACGCTAAAGCTAGACACGTCCCTTGACCTAGCGATTTCCCTTCTAAGTATTACCTTGGAGGACCTCGAGCATAGGGCCACAAGAGCGCTCACTGAAGCTTTGTTTGTAAGCAAGAGAAATTGGAAACGACCTGAATAGCTATGAACAGAAGAGCAGATAAATAAGTTGTGTTTTCATAAAATCCAGAGCTCCCGGTATCAATGTGGATAAATCTCAGAAACAATGTTGAGCTGGAGGAAAGAGGCAAATTGCAGAGGGCTATAGGCAGTGTACCATCTATGGAATCTTTCTAAACATGTAAACTGATATTTTATTGTTTATGGATACACACATATCTGGCTAATAGAAGTATAAAAGCATGCCCAGGAATGCTCTAAACAGCAAAACCAGTGATGGGAGGGGCTCCTGAGGGTGGGGAGAAAGGGAGGTGGGGGGCATCTGTAAAGCTAAGAAAGACACTGGATTTCAACCGTCTGTGTACCATTTCATTCATTTTTAATAATCTGAGTCAAATGTAGAATAATATTGGAATTTGTCAGAGGTGGGTGATGGGAACACAGGCATGGGTTATATTCTCTCCAGACTTCTCTGGGTGCTTGGTGTTTTTCATAGAAAAGAGAACAAGCCACAACACAAATAAAAGGTTTTGTTATTCCACGCTTTTCTTAGCAAACTCAGGGAATAAAAATGGAGTTATAATGGAGTTGCAGCATTAGGGTCTTTGAATTGGTGCAAATTTAATTATATGCCTAGAGAGAGAGAGGATTCAAAGAGGGGGATTTGTTTGGCTGGTCCCAGGATGAGAACACCTTGGGGACTATTCATCTTCTCATTTCAGTGGATCCCGGCCCTGCCGTCTACTTACTGAGCAATGGAAAGCATATTCTATTCGAGGCTAATTTCGACTCTATTTTCTCATTTACATGCTGACTTCTCAACCCAACCCCTATGTAAAACGCAATTCACTGCATTTTTAAGGCTAAAAGCAGAGCAAAAAGGAAGCGTTTTAAAGACATGAATCCAGTTTTCACAGGTAAATCCGTTTCTCCTTGCTGCTGAAACAAATGACCACAGACTTAATGGGTTAAAACAAGATACTTTAAAATGGTAGAGTCTAGCGGTCAGAAGTCCAAACTAGGTCTCACTGGGTTAAAATCAGGGTGTCAGGCCCTGGCCAGTCTGGTCAGTGGTTAGAGCGTCGGCCCACGGACCAGAGAGTCCCGGGTTCGGTTCCCACTAAGGGCATGTACCTCGGTTACAGTTTGTCCCCAGCCCCGGTTGGGGTTGTACAGGTGGCAACCACTCGATGTGTCTCTCTCACGTCAATGTTTTTCTCTCTGTCTTCCTCCCTCTCTCCCTCCCGCTCTGTCTAAAGATAAATGCAAAAATGTCCTCGGGTGAGGATAAAAAAATAATAATTAAAAAAATAAAATCAGGGTGTCAGCATTGTGTACCTTTTTCAGACTCTAGAGGATGATCCACTTTCTTGCCTTTTCCAGTTTATGGGGGTTGCCCACATTCATTGGCTGGCGGCCCCTTCCATCCTCAAAGCCAGACACGGCTGGTGGTGTCTTTCCCTTCATAGGGCTCTGCTAGGGACCCTTCTGCCTTCTCTGGACCGCAGGCTGATGATCCAACCGCTGAGCCAAACCGGCTAGGGCGACCCTTCTGCCTTCTCCCTTCCATCTTTTAAGGGACCCTTGTGACTACATTGGGCCCACCTGCATAATACAGGCTACTCTTATTTTAAGGTCAACCGATTAGCAACTTTAATTTCATCTGCAACCTTAATTCCCCCTTGCCATGCGACATAACATATTCAGTTTCCATCTTTGGGAGGCCATTGCTCTGCCTTCTACAATTTAAGAGTTGAAGGTTCTTAACTCTAGCCCTCCTCACTCCCTGGCAAGACTGGTGTAAGTGCCATGAGGATGGGGTCTCTACATGGGGCATCCCCAGTGCCTGGCACATACCGAATGGTTGACACACACAACACACAAATACACAACAC